ATATGATTCTTTCTTCATCCTCTGACAACACCTCATACCTCCTTAATGGACAAAAGTATAAGGGCAAGATGGGAAATAAGATTGCAACAGCTTTTAAAGTTAAAAAAAGCTAATTTAAAAACAACATCACAAAAAAAGTAAGATATTATCCCCCGCACTATCCCAAACCCTCAAAAGTGGTTTCCTAAGATGCTTTTGGCATGAAACTAACTAAAATCCTAAAAGAAAGTTTCATGAATAGGATATGTGGTAAAAGCTGGCAGCTGTTCTGAAATTCTGAAGCTGACTCTGAATCTAGCCTCACGTGTAACAGAACCTTGCATCTGACTGTCCTGTGCAACTTTATAGCAGCCTCGGCTATTCAATGCAGATTAGCTCCTAGGCTATAGTGATTCACACTCTTGAAACAATTAGAATGACTTTGTTTTAGCATAGTGAGCTTTACTCTATAGTTAGCTTCGTGGGACATTTTAAGTACCTCTTTAGCTTTTTAAAAAGTTGCCTGGGTAGCTAGATAGTGTGCTTTCTAAGGGTGAAGGATTTTCACATTTTCATAACATTATTGAACATTCTTGTGCTTTAGAACTACCAAATTCTTGACACTCCAGAAATGTTTTAAGTGATGTATTAATGATTCTTAATCTACTAATGCTTTTGCATAATGTAATTTTGATCTCTGAGAAAATTTTTAAACAAAATAACATTATCTAATGCAAACTAAACAAAACCAATGCAAACAAATTTACCCTTTTTTTAATACACAAAATGAATTCTTAAACTGCAGCTGTAACACTTGTTAAGCTGTAGTCCTTTCTTAAGTTACAAAATTCATCCTTGCTCGTGAGGTTGTGTTAAAGCAGCTTGATTGCATTAGTGGCGTACTCCTCTTTTGACCTGTGCCACTTTGGACTTTCTATTTGAAATGTTAATTAAAATTGTTAAAATGACTGAAAAAATGTAATGGGTTATGTGTAGTTTTTGGATTTTTTTTTCCTTGTTGATGGAGGGATGCTTCAATATTAATGAGAATAAACTTTATTCTCAATGATGGTGTATTTCATCTCACTTATTTTTTAATACAAAATAAGAAATATTTGCAAGGTATTTTGCTGCCCTCTGCGGGTAGATCATATGTATGGTAAGTGAAGTGCTTAATGTGTTCATAGTTTTTATTTGTACATTAAAAAAAAAATAAATTGCTTTAATTCCTTTATTTTCTGAACAAATGGAAAACGAGGATTCTTTTACAAAAAATAAAATGTTCATTCCAGGACCACTCAATATTTACTTAATAATGAGAACTGTTTTATTCAGGCCCTGTGTAGATGAAAGTGGTTAACTCACTGCCTTTTATCTATATCTTAGACAGCCAATACAGTTTGAGCGCTGATTGCTGACTGTAATATTTTTTTGCTCCAGATTAAGTTTAAAGCCTATAAACACCTAGGTACATTTTTCTTATAACACATGGACATTATATACAGTATAGATGTATATACAGTCTTGTTGGCCATGTCTTGCTCCTCCCCTTACATGGTACATGTGTACACACGCATGTGGACATAACCCTCTCAATAGTTAGAAAAACTTTAAGTAAAACCTTACCTAAGTAACCACCCTTCTGGGCCAGGGTAAACACCTTGAATACTTCCCCCCTGCTACTCTACAATTTTCTGGGTATTTCTGGTTCAGTATCTTCTTGTGCATGATGCAGTTTGCTTTCTAAATGGCCTTTTTTTTTTTTTTTTTTTTTTTCTTCTGTGGGCTTTTTCCTACTCTTTCTTTGAATCACTCTGGCAAGGAGTTCCTCAGCCAGTCTTCCTGATTGGTGCTCACTCCTTTTTAATTTTTTTTTTTTTTTTTTTTTTTTTTTTTCTTCTTTTTTTTTTTTTTTTTTTTAGCTTTGCCATTATTAGTTGCATTGAGTCTTTCCTCCCAACTGTTGTGTTAGGATGTACTCATAACTTAGGATTCTGTAGACTTCCAGTTGTCTTTTCCTGAATGCAGAATTCTGGCTTCTTTAGCTATTTTTTTTTTGAGTGGAAACTGGTACATTTGATTGTAGTGTTGGTGCTCTTTGAATGTTTTCAGTTCTGCTGTTTTCCCTCCTGTGAAGCAAGATGATGGTATTTTCTATACTGTTCTGTAATCCTTTCCCTAACCTATAGCATCTGATTTATGTTTTTGGACAGAACATGTCAATGAATGGATGTTATTGTAAAACTGTCTGTTATAATGCTAATATCTCACTTCTGAGTCGGTGATCAACTCATAGTCCAGCATTTTATATATTAAGTTAGCAGATTTCCCCTCTCTTCCCTGCACTATTTGAATTATATCTAAGTTGATGTTTTTTGTTGTTGGTTTTTGTTTGTTTGTTTCGTTGTTTTTGTTTTTTTTTTTCCCAATTTAATTGCCCAGTTACTTGGAATTAGAAGATCCATCAGTACTTCTTCATAACCGGCCATGATCCTTGCTGTCTTAAATAACAATATTAAGGATCTTAATCAAGAGCACCTCACTATTTCTTTTCCGTATTGCATATGGAAAATATGGAATGACACGATACTTATTGTATGGCTTACTGCGGAACTGCCTTGGTGACGCTGCTCTGATGTGAGAAGTGACCTATATTGAGGTTCTGTTTCTGTAAAGAAATTAATAACTTCAGAAAAAGAAAATTTAAATACATAAAAACTCAATATTATTTAAGTAACAATTTTTTTTAAAAAATTGAGTCAAGCAGCTGCTTGATGTATTATTAAACCAAATTAATTGATACCTTCTAGTTCTATAAACTAAATGTTACATGGAATGTTTATAACCTCAATTGCCTTATCTACGTTTTAGTTGTAGGAGTAATGGTGTGTAGTTTTCCAGGTAGATTATGCTAGTTCCTGGCAAGTAAATGAAAAAGAATGAACAAAATTAACAAAGCTACTTTAGAATCTAAATCTTGACTCCTGCTCTGAATAGGCTTTATAGCTAAAAACACACATACATCCACCCTCCTTTATAAAATAGAGCCTGAGATGACCAAGCTGAAGTTAACTATGATGAAAATGCTGCTTTCCTCTAAGAAGAGATTTTATGTGAGTGATAAAGAGCATATAGTAGAACTAGTTTTGTACAATAAAGAGCAAGCAAAAAAGTAATGATAAATATTTTTAATACCTCTTTTTGAGCTTAAGTTTGTGGTTTATGTTGTATTCTCTTGATATTGTATTCTTGATTCTCTTGTAGAAGTCCTCTAATGGTTCCAGATATGTATCAGTCAATTACCAGATATTTTGATGGACTTTGGAGGCTAAAAAATCAAGCATTTAACAGGCTGAACTGCAGCCCTAATTTATTAGTTACTGGTGTTCCAACTTTGTTATATGGGAGAGCAGGAGCTGAGGGAAGAACTGACAGGAGCAGAACTGTTTTGCTGCTTCTGAGGATCTTGAGTAACAAGTTCAGTAGGGAAAAGTTTTGTTGTACATAACTGGAACTTCATTGCTTATAGCAATTATAAAATTTCAATATTTATCAGAATTTTTTGTTTATAAAGAAAAAAACATTGGTTAGAAAGAGGACAGACTTCAATAGTGACAGTGTAGGGGCTGGGGTTTCCAGTAATGCCACTATTTTCTGGGCATGAATAGGAATGAAATAGCTGAAGTTCCCTTCATTTTATAGAAAAAAACACATTGAGTTGCTTGAGGCGTCAAACTTTAATTGTAAACTTTGGTTTACAATTAAAAGCTGGCTGTGGTTTGTATTGATTGAGAAGCTGTCTTCATTTGTATCTGAAGCATGCCAGGAAAATATGCAAGTGCTTTATAAACAATTTTTTCTTTGTAAATGTAATGATTTTTTTTTTTAGTAAGAATTTAGAGTGTGATAACTAACAGCATTTTTGCTGATATGTACTGACAGCAACATACTGGTTACAACTTTGAGGAATATGCCTGATTTTTGTTTTAGTTGTCATTTTCCCCCAAGAGACAAAAAAGCTTTGAAAATGAAAATGCTATATTTTAGTCTACTGGAAACATGTATCTTTTTAATATAATTAAAACAAACAAACAAAAAAAAACCCATACACAAAGAAAATATAAAACAAGTTGAGGAAAGAAAGTTAGTGTCATTTACCACTTGTCCCACTATTTTTTTTGCAGGAAAGTCCATCCTTTAAGCCAGCCTAGTGGCTTTGGCAACAAATCTTGCATGATTCCTTCTTATGCTTAGAAAGTTCTTTCTGTTTCCTCTTCTTGGCTTTTACTTGTTTTCTCTTCTCTATATCTTCCTCCTCTCTAGTTTCCTTTGCAGGGACTCCCATGAGCTAAAACCCCTGCCACCTCCCTGCAGTGTTTCCTTGGCTGCTGCACCCTGGATTTTTTTCTGACCATGTTCAGTTTTCTGCCACCTTAAGGGTATTCTTGTCTTGATGCTGGTAAAGTTGTATATGCATGTAGTGTTATGCAAGTGAAAGGGGACATGTGTACATTTTGATACTTCTGTAAAATCTGGATGAATACTAGCTGGCTACTCTATCTAAAAAAAAAAAAGTATGTTTGGGAGTGGTTTTTTTTGGTGAGGATTTGTGTTACTCCTGTTTCACTGTACCTTTATTCACTGTTTGAGTATAAAATACCATGCAAAGAACAAATGTAACTCCACACCTCAAACTGGGAAGATTGTATCAGAAAGCTGCTGCTTATAATTTACTGTTCTTACCTCTAGAAAGCTGTCTCTCAGAATATTAAATTAGTTAAGAGCAAATTCCATATATGATTCTTTCTACTGTGAGCGTAATAAAACTATTGTCCAGCTCAGGAAAAAATGATATATAGCATTAAGAATTTTATGTAGGTAAAAATACTTTTTGCTTTTGTTCTTGCTGGTGCAAAGATTTTTTTTAAAATTATTTTTCTCTTCTTGCATTCTAGCAGCTGCTTGATGTTTTTGGTTTTCACTTTGCAGCTTAGTCTTTTTCCGTTTTTCCACAATTGTAGACAGTTGCAAGAGCAACAGAGGCAGAAGGAGCTGGAACGGGAGAGGCTGGATCGTGAACGAATGGAACGGGAGAGGCTGGAAAGAGAGAGGCTAGAAAGAGAAAGACTTGAAAGAGAGCGCCTGGAACAGGAGCAGCTGGAGAGAGAACGGCAAGAGAGGGAACGGCAGGAGCGCCTAGAAAGGGAGAGACAAGAGAAGGAGAGGCAGGATCGAGAAAGACTCGAGCGACTGGAACGGGAAAGACAAGAGAGAGAACGGCAAGAGCAGTTGGAAAGGGAACAATTGGAATGGGAAAGAGAGAGAAGAATTTCAAATGCTGGTAAGAATTTCAAAGCCAAAGGTATTCAAGTACCGGACCACTTTTTATGTGTTTGGGTGATGGAGGGGGAGAGAACCAACAGAGGGCAGTGAGTACAGCTGTGTAACAACAGTCGGTATTTCAGGGTTCTATTTGCTGGAGTTGCTTCATTTTTAATGGAAAGAAGTCCAAGAGCTTTGACCTTTCTGGTATCATCTTCCATTGACTCTGAAATAAATTGTTTTGCGCTATTTGCTCACTCCATTGCCAATACTCTCTGGTTGCTTGAAGAACTTGAATCACATTGGGCATCTCCAACATTGGTTGAAGTGTGATGTCCTAAAAACTAAACATATCAGGTTGAGTGCGTTAATGTAGAAGGTCTGTACCTATATATGGCAAAGTGTTAGTGAGAGAAAAGCCTTTCAGTATGAAGTCTTGCTTGATTTATCATTGTAGTAACATTTCAGTGAAATGTGTTGTATGTATTTATAGGTAAGATAATGCACTGCCTGCAGAAATGAATCCAGTGATAACTGAAAGCTTTCTTATTTTGGTAATATAACGGAACATGAGTCAAGCACTTGATTGTTCTTTAGTAACAAACTCAATTTACGTAAGAAGTTAGCTCATGGTGAAAGTCCATGAATACTGCGCAAGAGCTATTAATTTTAGAGGGGAGGATATTACTGGTAGTTTTATTCCCAGTACTTTCTAGTTTATGATGGAGCTTTTTCTGGGGAAGAAAAAGTTGATATTTGCTGCCTATAGCATGAGTTTGTTAGTGGAGTTGTAACAAATGTTAAGATCACTACACTTGCTTGCAGTTTGCAACCAAACAAGAAGATAAAAGCTGATAAAAGTCTGGTTAATCAACCCTATATCTAATCTGTCTCACAGCTGGGGGTTGAGAAAACGTACTCTAGAACGTACTTGTAAATTCAAATGTTGGCACAAAAATAGTTGGTAAAAATTACAAGCAGCTGTTGATAATATGTAAAACTTTCCTAACAGTGTTTTCACTTGTGCCTAATCCTCTGGTACTAACTGTAGTCTACATTTATGCATTTTGTTTGAATGCTGGTTTTGTTGCTTCATTAGCTCCCTTTTTCTCTTTCTCCTTTTTTTATCCTGCCTTTGCTGCTGCTTTCCATCTTCTGTCCAGCTCCATCTTTCGACAACTCCCCGTATAGCACTCCACTTCCTGAATACTCCAGTTGCCAGCCTCCTTCAGCACCTCCTCCATCATATGCAAAAGCAGTCTCAGCACCAATGTCAGAGGCCGCACCGGAGTACGCTGTAGTGACTTCTGCGCCACCGACTTCCACTCCCCCTACACCGCCTCTAAGGCACTCTGCATCACGTTTTGCTACTTCTTTAGGCTCGGCTTTCCACCCCGTTCTCCCCCATTATGCTACAGTTCCTCGACCACTGAACAAAAGTTCTCGGCCCCCTTCTCCTGTCAATGCCCCGGCGACTCTGCCTCCAAATACAAAGCCTGTTGCCTGGTCTGCGCCCAGTTTTGCCCCCCTTCCCCCGTCTCCTCCAGTAATGATAAGCAGCCCGCCAGGCAAAGCTACTGGTCCGAGACCTGTCCTCCCAGTGTCGGCTTCTAATCCAGTGACCCAAATGTCTACGTCTCCCACGGCTCCTAACGGGCTTCCTGAAAACATGGCTTATCCAGTTCCTTCACCTTCTACCTCAGGTCCAACTCCGCCTCCGCCACCTCCTCCTCCCCCGCTGCCTTCCTTTCCGCCTCTGTCACTCTCTGGACCTCAAGCTTCTCCTTCTCCCAACTCCCCGAATGCCTCGACTCCCTCATCCAAGCCTAGTGTTCTCCCTTCTCCCTCTGCAGCTACCCCTGCCTCTGTTGAGAACTCTCTAAACTCTGTGCTGGGAGACTCCTCTGCTTCTGAGCCAGTCTTGCAGGCAGCCTCTCAGCCGGTTGAACCTACGACCCAGCAGGGTAAGGCTTTCTGTTATTGCTACTAATGCACTAATCAGGAATGCACTTGAAACCGATTGGTACCGAAGCCCGTAACTGTCCCAGAGAATTCGTACAATGCTTCCAAAGATGCAGTGATCTTAATACCACAACGAAATACCCTTGGGAAAACTGGGGTAAGGGAAACGTCAAAGCTTTGTGGATAAGAGCTGGTGTGCCATGGCCTCTCTTAAGTAAAATTCTTATTTCATAAGCTCTCAGCTGTTAGGAGCTTTTTGAATACTTGCTTGGTAAATCTTGCACTGTTAGTTTATTTGGAATATGGTGTTAATAGGCAGCATCGTTAATTTCCTAATGGCAGCCAACATGGAAGAACATACATGTGGCTTTGGACATGTGAATGACCTTAAGCGAGGAATAATCTGAACCACTTGGATGCTCTATGTAGTTTCAAATTTAGAAAGTCTTATGTAACGCCTACAGGATTTCTTTCTGTACAGAATTTCTGGTTGTATTTTGGTATATGGCTGTATACATGCATATGTATATTTATAAAGACATGTTTTCTTGTGGTATTCTACTAGCGTAGCTTATAAAGACCTAAGAAAAACAGTTTGGTTAAGCAGGTGACAGTCTTAATGGTCACTCTACCATTATGACAGAGATGTGTTTTATGTGGATATAAACGTCTTTGCTAACCTGAATCCTGCTTTTACGTTGACTTAGTAGATTATGATCTTTGTATGTAAGTCTGCAGTACCTCAGCTAAAGGTATGTGCAGAGGGGCTCCTGGGGGATGAACAGACTGTGGCTTCATCACCCACAAGCCATGCAGAGCAGACCCTGTTTATACCATCTTGTCTTAAATGAAGGTGTGAGCTACTCTGGGATGGAGTAGAAATAAGGTAAATGACCTCACTTGTCTGGAATAAAAGTGTGCACTTGGATGGTGGGTGATGCTAAGAGAGTTTAAAAGGCTTTTAAATTTACACAGTGGCTATCAGTGTAGGAAACCAGGAAGACTTGTGTGTGACATCTTTGCCTGTAAAGGTTGCCTAAGGTAGTTGTGCAGCATTTTTGGTAACTTAGGGCATTTTGGGCAAGGTCAGGTCGAGGATGTGTAGAGCTGGTTTTTTTTAGTCACAATTTCTTAAACTGTTCCTATAATAATAACAGCAATCATCAGAATATTCTCTCCTCAAAACACATTTTGTATTACATATCAATGTGAATTTGAAGGAATCATAGATAAAAAATAGAAGAGCTTGATCCCATCAGCTTAAATATGTCAGTCTTTTAACTCACTAATTAGTGTTTGTATTAAATTATTAAAGTTGATTCTTGGAACGTTTCTTAGAGGGAAGGTTTTTTTATACAGGTTGGAACTTAGCGTTGGAACTCAAAACAGTTCAAGGGTTCAGATGTTTGGGTGGTGTGTTAGTTAAATGGTTGTTAGTACAATGGAAAGTCACTGTTCAGCACCATTTGAACACACAGTATTGTTCTTACATGCTATGATGCTCCTGCCTTTCTCAGTGCAAGGTTTTTGGTTGCAGCACAGAGCCTGACTGGAGGTGTTTTGTACGCAAATGTCTCTGAAACTGTCTGATCTCTCATAGCATGCTATGTAATACTCTTAGAGCATTTAATAGGAATGCTTCTCTCCTGCTGGAACTTGGAGTTTTTTCTTGCCTATAAAGAGGACCCTTACCAGTAGTAATGTCTCATATGCTGAACAAAACAACCATAATTTCAATGGAAATAAGATTTTTCTTTTCTAAATCCTTAATATAGTGTATTTGTTTTGTCTTCGATACTAGGTGTTGTCCCAGGACCACCTGCGCCTCCTCCCCCGCCCCCCCTGCCCCCTGGCCCAGCTCAGTCTTCAGTAGCAGCCCCACCTCCTCCTGGCCCACCA